TTCACTTTAATATTTGAATAAAAGTCATGATTTTACCCTTTTCTAATGGTTATCTTCCATGAGTTTTTTTCTCTGAGTAACTTTCACTGGTCAGTTTTTCTTCTCTCTTTCAGAAATGACACTCAGACAACAATGGTGTCTGGTTTCATTTTCTGAAAGGTGAAAGTACACCTTATAGATATGTGCAAAATAATCTGAGACCCAAACACGTACTCCACATGCAGTAGCAGTGCTATTTATGGACTGCGGTGGTTTGGATATGATTTGTGCCCATCAAAACACACGCTGAGGGAGGGAGGTGATGGCTCACGGGAGTGGATCCTGCCTTTCTCATGGAGGAAGTTTTGCTGTCACGGAACTGGATTCCTTTCCACCAGGGTGGTTTGCTATCAAGTGAGTACAGCTTTCCCTGCCTTCTGCTTGTTGCTGTCACAAGTGCGTCTGCCATTTGATGTCTTCCCTCACATTATGACACAGTCGGAGCCCCTGCCAGGTGTGCCACCTGGTCCTAGACTTCTGAGTCTGCACAGTGATAAGCTACATTCAACCTCTTTATAAATAACTCTTGTCTCATGTATTCTGTGACAGCAAGAAAAATGAATTAAGACCCGACTCACCTCCATCTGGTATTTCCTAAGCATTCATTTTACATTTGATGACATATTTTTTGCCTCTTTTAACACTTATATTTCACTAATTTAAACACTTCATGAAATTACACAGGAATCTAACCTATTTCATTGGAATTGAAAATGAACACATTTGATGTAATAAAAATATAGCTTTCTGGGCCAGCGAGATAGCTCAGCAGTCTAGGAGCCTGCCTGGCAAGTGCAGGAACCCAGGTTCAATCCCCCACACCACATGCAATGCCAGCCCGCCCCAGGTGCACCAAGCCTGCCATGGAGACCAGGCATGGTGGCATGCGCCTGTAATCCCAGCGCTGGGGAGGCTATAAACAGGAGGATCACTATGAGTTCGAGCTGTGTAGCAAGACCCTGTAACAAATACATAAAAAAAAAAAATACAACCCCTATCTCAGCCTTCCTTATAGTTAATATGAACATGGACTGAATCCTAGCCAATGTAACTTAAGTGAAAGTGACCAAGGACCATACCTTGTCCCCTCAAGCCATTGGCCAGAGCAAGTCGTCTGGCCTGATCTAATTACTAGGTGGAGACGATGAGGAGCTCAGGGTGGCCCTGTGTAGGGAAAATTGCTCTCTGCTCTGTAAGTCAAGGTTCAGCCTTCTGGGAAACAGCAGACAGAGAGAGCTGCAGGCATTCTGCTCCCCAGTGTACCACACATGGAATACACAGAGTGGGACATGTACACACACACACACACACACACACACACGGTCAAGTATCATCTAAAGCCATCCAAACTATATTCGTCTAAGAACAGGCCCCAGCTGGGAGTGAAGGTGCACACCTGTAATCACAGCTACTTGGGCAGCTAGGCAGGAGAATGGCAAGTTCAAGGCCGGCCTGTGCAACTTAGCAAAATCCTGTACAAAATAAAATTTAAACAGAGGAAGGGCTGAGGATGTAGCTTGGTGACACAGCACTTGCCTAGCATGCATGATGTTCTGGGTTGAATCCCCAGCACTAAAAATGAAAAGGAAAGCCCCGCCAAAAACCCATGCAGCGAGGTTCTTCCTGTGTCACTGATATGCAGCTGACACATTAAAAAAGGATACAGTACCACTGAGATGACAAAAAAAAAATCCCTGTTGGATAAAATAGAAACCAACAATTGACCAACACAGTCAATAACAGGGAGGGCAGGAGGTAGAATCAGGGTGCCTGCATTCAGCCTGAGAGGCTTTGGAAAAGTCTCCTAATCCTATGTCTCCTTTTGCTTATCAATAAAATAGGGATATTCTGATAGCTCTTCCATGGAGGTTGTCTAAATAGTAAATGAAATAATGTATTTATAGCACTTACAACATTGGCACTCAATTCTAGCTACCATTCAAAAGCCAGGATTCTGTCAGGTAAAAGTGAACTAGTAATCATCCAGGGTAGAAAATTAGTGCCTGAAAGCTCAGTTCTTCATGAAAGCTGCTAGATTGGGATCCAGGAGCCTGGATTCTCTCCCCAAATAATGAACACCAAAGTCAAGTGCATCAGAGTACAGTTGGTCTCTAACTAACGATGGTTTGACTTAAAGACTTTTCAACTTTACAGTAGTGCCAAAGCGATCTGCACTCGGTAGAAAATGCGCGTTGACCTGTGCCCTGTTGCCTCTTTTTCTGGGCTTGTATGCAGTAAGAGATGCTTGTGATACCAAGCAATGGTGTCGAGTTTGGCCCCTGACAGTCTTACCAGCACTCAAAGCCATGTTGTTCAGTCAGTTAGGTGGATTAAGTGCGTTTTTGACTTATAGTAGTTCCAACTGACAATGCTGGGTTTATAGGAACCGTGAGTACCAAAGTCTGGTTTGCACTCTGTCGCTCTCCCACCCTGATGACCTAGCTTCACACAAAGGGCCTACACAGTAGGGACAGCTGTCTCCTACGGTTGGTCCACATCTGTCCCTACTTCTCCTGAGACCTGGCCTCCATTTTTACTCCACCTGGGACTCTTTCTTGTACCGATGCAGGATTCCTCAGATGAACATTGTCCTTTCCCTCTGGTTCCAAGGTTTGCAATGTGCTTAGGGAAATTGCTCTTCCTCCTCTCATTTCATTTATCAATGTTTCTTCCTTGCCAGATTTTAATCACGGTTATAAGTCAAAGCAGTATTATGGGCAGACGTGCAAAGAAAAAGAAAAGCCTTTCAACCTGAAAAGTAAGCAGGGCAAAGTCCAATAACAAGGAAAAGGCTGTCACAAGACAGCTGGTGGTTGCCAAGAATATGTAACTAAGCAGTGATGGGGACAGTAGTCACTGGGGCTGGGACATCCATGGAAGGCTTCTCTGAAGGATCCCAAGAACCATGTGTCCTCACATGGTGGCATCAGGCGCCCTGACTAAAGCACTTGTATCCAGAGGCAGGAACCTGGTTAGTCTGTCTGCTAGGGGAGTTGGGACAGGGCAGTGGGGAAAGAGGGTAAAAATGTAATATGGGCCTTGAATACTGAACTCAACTTGTTTAACACTGTGATATCTAAGGATAGAGATAGTATGATGAAATTGAATCACTGAGGTTGACATAAGATACCAGGCCCAGGGATGTAGCTCAGGAGCACAGCACCTGACCTGCCTGGCAAGCTCAAGGCTTTGAGTTCAATTCCCAGTACCAAAAAAAAAAAAAAAAAAAAAAAAAAAAAAAAAAAAAAAGAAGAAGAAGAAGAAGAAGGTAGCTACCAAATAAGCTACCAAGTATCTGTAAAAATGTAAATTCAAACCAGTCTGTTATAGCTTGGCACAATGGTATATCACAGCTGTACAAAGTAAGCTCTACTATTCCACATCATTCAACAAATAATGATGCAATCCATCCTGTGGCCAGCTGAGCTGAACTCAGCTATGCTACACTTCAAAGTGACTTAAGGCTTTTGCTCACTTGATTAATGTTTTCCTAAGATTGTGTGCTTATGGACCCATAAACCTAGAGGCAGAAACAGCCTTCTGTGGCAAGTGTCCCAGGGAAGGGAGCAGGGGTGGATGGGGTGGGGGTGGGGCAGGCATGCTTGGCCTGACAAAGGAGCAGTGGAGTTGGCCGTGCTAGAATATCACCTTGGTGACTGAGGAATATTATGGGATAGGGCGTGGGCAGGATGGATTATGTGGCATTGGCAAATGTGGGCTTGGCTGGTAAACTATTATCCTTTAGAGCAGAATCTTTAGTACTTTCAAGTTTTTGTTTGTTTTTGTGTGGTATGGATGGCAGATGTCATTTGCAAGGCCAAAGCTATACAACTTAATAACTTTATGGAATGATTTGTGATCTGAAACCAAACTTTTCCGTACTCTGAATTGTAAAGGTGTTAACAGGACAAAGAAAAAATAAATCACTGTGAAAGAAATAGACTTTATGTTGGAGAAAGAATTAGTTCTAATATTAAATATGTTTTATTAGAGCTTTGACTTAAAAATTACAAATAATCTGGTCACTTCTTCAGTTTTCTTTCTTTCTTTCTTTCTTTCTTTCTTTCTTTCTTTCTTTCTTTCTTTCTTTCTTTCTTTCTTTCTTTCTTTTTTTTGATGGTACCAGGGATTGAACTCAGGACCTTGTGCTTGCCAGGCAAGCACTTATTCCACTGAGCTATTTCCACAGTCCTCTCTTCAAGTGCTAACACAAAATTCATATCCCAAATGCTAATAACAGTATTTCCCACTGGGATCTTTTTATTAAGAATTCAAAAGATTTTGTTTAATAAGCACTATTTTTGGTGCTAGTGCCTGGAAAAATCCAGCACAAATTTTCAGCCCTTGGTTTACCTGATAACGCAAAAGGAAAAAAGGACCAAAAATAAATATGAAAGGAGAGCATCCCCCTACAGGAATATTCACCTCTATAAGTAAACCCCTACTTCCAGAGGTGCAAAATTGCAGCCCACTGTCCCTCTGTGAGTCTCAGCCCCACCCAAGTCTGTCGCTAACCGCTCTAACTCTAAATTCCTGCTCCTCAACTGTATGGTGAGGAGACTACTTCCACAGTCCGCTTGCATCCGGATTACTTAACAGGGGGCATCTGTGTACTTAAATTAATTTATTAATAGTCACTACTAATAATTTTTCTAGTGACGGAAGGCACCCAGGGATGCCTATCGCTATCCTCGCTGTCCCTTTAGGCTTCCGCACCTTCCTCGGGAGCAGGTCCCCCAGCGCCCCCCACTCTCCTTCACTCCCTCCACCTGGCCTGCTCCGTGGGCGGGACCTGCTCGCGAGCTGCAACGTGATTGGCCGTGTCCTAGCAACCGCGGCGACTTGGTTGTCAACGGAGACGTTGGAAATCCGGAACTAAGGAACAGAGCTGGAAGCTCTGACCCCTTAGCCCTCGCGGATCACTGCTTTATCCACCAGCAGGATGCTTACTTCGCCTGCCCTCTGAAAGGGAGCCACCTTGCCTTCCACGGAACAGACTGCCTAGTAAGTGTGCGGGCGCCAACCATCGCCACAGCTGGCACTTCCAAGGTGGCATAGGGGAAACCTGGGCGTATATGATTTCCAAGCTGATACCCTCCTCTCCCCTTCTAGACTAGAGGGTCCCCCATCCTCACCCTGTACCTTCCTCACCCAGAAGCTCCAGCTGCGCTGGCAGAGAATCAGCTCTTCCAGTTTCTTTCTGTGTCATAGCAACAGTTATGCAATGATGAAGTCTGCTTGGACTTCAGAGGAAATACGAGAACCAGGAGAAACATTTCTAATAAACAGTGACAGATATGAACAGCACCCCCCCCCCAAGCCACCGCTTGTTTTAGAGCTTTCAACAACTTTCAGTCCTGTAAAGGTGTCCAGCTGCGTCCTGTTGCACACACGTCGTTTTCACAATCACATCGCTTTCTCTGACCGTTTTAGGTGGACAGAGAACAATCATTAGGTTCAGGTTTTGTCTCATACATAAGTTTTTTGTTTTGTTTTGTTTTGTTTTTTTCCGTCTTCTTAGGTGTTCTGTGTTTCTTCTCGCAGCAATCTATGGCCTAAAGTACTTTTATTCTCAGATTTTTTTCTTTATCTATTTTCTCAGCTGTGGGAAACAATGGAGCTGGCGACCACCACCTAGCCTTGTTATTAAGGGTTCAATAATGGGGCCGTGGTAAGACTGGCACATCAGGGAGCACATCCCAGTTCTTTGTTTTTTTTTTTCCAGAAAATTTCAAAACTCACATAAATGGTGTGATATATCCACTGGACCTTGATTTCTCTTCCTCCTTCCTCTTCCTCTTCCTCTTCCTCCTCCTTCATCCTCCTCCTCCTCCTCCTCCTCCTCCTCCTCCTCCTCCTCCTCCTCTTCTTCTTCTTCTTCCTCTCCTTGTCTTTCTCATTCTTCCTCTTCCTCCTCCTTCATCCTCCTCCTCCTCTTCTTCTTCTTCCTCTTCCTCTTCTTCCTCCTCCTCCTCCTCCTCCTCCTCCTCCTCCTCCTCCTCCTCTTCTTCTTCTTCTTCTTCTTCTTCTTCTTCTTCTTCTTCTTCTTCTTCTTCTTCTTCTTCTTCTTCTTCTTCTTCAGAAACTACTACATTTGGGATGTTGATCACAAAGCCTACCAATAAACGGGCAAGGGTTGTAGCTCAGCAGTGCAGCAATTGCCTACCATGCATGAGGCCCTGGGTTCCATCCCTAGCACTGCAAACAAAACAAGGCAAGCGACTCCTTCACGAAGCAAAGCTTACCAAATGTTTGAAGTGCATCCATGGAATCTATATTTGGCTTTGTCCCTCAACCACGGGCTGTGTAGGACCACCTCTCCTGGGCATCTACTGGGGCCTTGGTCTATCCCAGTCTCCTAAATGAGTAGATGGTGAATGACTTAAGTAAAAGAGACAAAGGATATGGTTTTAGGGCTCCAAGAGGATCAAAGTCCTCTAATGGAATTCAAGGTTCCTTGGAGGTTGAGACAAAGAACTTCTCTGGGTGGCCCATTTTTATTTGGTTTTCAGACAAAGGAAAGAGGTACTGAGGCAAGCCCAGGAATTGAGCAGAATGCTGGGAGTCAGTTCAAAGACTTTTTTTTTTTTTAGTTCAAAGACTTTTCCAAGTAGCAAATGTTGCCCATTAGGAGACCTGTCTTCTGTCTAAGGTTGGCAGCTTTATTGTTCTGGGATATGGGGTGCCAGCATCCTGTGCCCTTGTCGCCTCAGCTGTGGTTATCTTGATTTCAGAGCACCATGCATTTGCTCTATTCTGACACACTTAGAGGTCCCTGTGTTTAGCAACTTAACCCCGTACAGCCTGGTCTCCAAAACGCACGGACACTGCCACAACAGCTCAGCATACTAAGCACCTGAGCATGGTGGCACACGCCTGTAATCCCAGCGCTGGAGAGACCTAAAACAGGAGGGGCACTAAGAATCTGAGCTGTGTAGTGAGATCCTGTACCAAATATATTTTTAAAAAAGACTCCTATCCAAGGCCACCCTTGGGTCAAGTCTTAGCTGACCTGCGAGGGAGGAGACCAGCGGCAGCAGCAGCTCGGGGCTGGCTGGCTGCACAGCGCCCACTTCCTGTGTCGGGGCTTTTGGTAAGCACATCCCCTTTCTTTCTATTTGCCTGTGGCTGGCTTTAGCTTAGACTTTTCATTTCAATCACTTTCTCTTTCCCACAACTCCCCTGCTCTTGGGACAGCTTTCACAGTTTAGGGTTACGCTCACTTGGGATGTTTTTTCTGATGCTGAGGTTGTCTGTTTCACAATAATCCCACATGAGAAAACCCTTAATAATAAGAAGAAGAATTAGACAGATTGGTCACATCCAGAAATTTATACATCTCTCTTTTAAAAGATAGCTGTTTCCTGATCTTAGCTCCGAGAGAGCTGTGATCCTTTGCCTTCTTTGGAGCCATTAGGTTGCTCTCAGTACTCGTAGTTCTGAGTGGTCCATGTCACTCACCTCAACACTCGTCCACAGTGTCTGCGGAAAGCCTTCATGTAGTTCGTCACCGAGGCAACTGAGCCTTCTAGTCCAGAGAGGACAGAGGGGAAGTGTCGAAGGCCAACATAATGAAGTTACAAAGGGGAAGTCAGGGCTTTCCCAGGGAGAGGTTAGGAAGGTTGCCGGGCGCTGAGGGTGTCATGGCAGAGGTGGCCGTAGGGCAGGCCTGTAGGCCGAGCAGGCGGAGTGGTGTGTACGTGTACTTTGTTAGGTTCTTGCTTGGGGCAGGCTTCCTTGCTCTGGTTGAATAGTTCTTTATCCTGCTTGACTAGAAAGGCCTTCTCTGGGGAGATGCCCATTCTCCCTTCCCTTCCTTGTTTTCTCTGGCTAACTTCCAGTTTCCAGATCCTTTTATCTGCCATAATACAGGTATTCTCAGGCTATAAAACCCTAGAGTGAAAATGTGAGTCACGATGAATCATACAGGCACTCAGATTCAATAGAGCCAATCTCACACACACACACACACACACACACACACACACCCCGTACTAGGGATCAAATGCAGGCGCTCACCTGTGCTAGGCAAGTGCTCTGCCACTGAGTGATTTATTTGTTTTTGAGACAGGGTCTCATTAAGTTGTCCAGGCTGGCATCAAACTTGTGACCCTCTTGCCTCAGCCCACCTGGGTACCCTCAGATTTACGTGTGCACCATTACACCTGTCCCAATCACATTTTTAAAAATACTAATAAAAATGCCTAGTATGAGCACAAAAAGGATGCGAACAGATAAACTGGAGAATTTTATTTGGGATCAAGAATGTTTAATTTAATTCAAATTTAAAAATAAAATTTTAGGGCTGGCCAAACAGCTCAGTGGATTAAAAGGCCTGCAAGCTGGCACAGGGGCTGGGGGTTTGATCCCCGGGCCTGTTGTGCCTGCCCCGCCCCTGGGGTACATTATGATGAGCGATTGAGACTGGGCGTTGTGGTGCGCATCTATAATCTCAGCGCTTGGGAGGCTGTAAACAGGTGGATCACCACAAGTCTAATCTAGTAGTGACACCCTGAACACCCTGTAGACCCTTCCCTAAAATACATTAAAGGGGGCTGCCCCTTAGCACAGTTCTTTAAGTGGCTGCTTCAACAAAGCAGTCAGGCTCAGGTTACTGTGGTTCAATCCCCACAACTCAAGCCAGCCAAACCTGCCCTGAAGGCATTCAGAGCCAAAAAATCCTAAAATACATTAAAAAAAATAAAATAAAATTTCAAAGAAGAATGTGTCCTTTGGAAATAAAAACAAAGCCAATATTCTTCTGAACTCCTCTCTAAGGTTCCAGAATCCACTCAGAAAGACATAATAGGGCAGTATGTGTTAAAAGTGTTCCCCTTTGAACGAAGGCATGCAGTTCCCTCCAGCAAGAGCACAGGAGATGGATGTGTTTCAGGGAGGAGAAAGATTCATTGGAAATGATGAAATCATCAGGAATTTTTCTCTGCACTTCCTTTTCTTGTTTCTATAGGAACAGCTGACCCAATTTGAAAGAACTTCAGTTACAGACTCTGTGGGCAGATCCTCAAAAGAAAACTGAAGTATATTGGTCTGCCCTTATTTCTGTGATTCATTCTAAACTTCGTAGTTCAAGATAATTGAGAATTTCAGAATAGAAACATGCTTGGAGTAAAAGTGGAAACAGCACATCATGAAACAGCACACAGTTACTAAAGGATAATGACTGGGAGATAATTTCTCTGCACATAGCTCTTTCAAAAATAATGTGTGCTCACTCATGCATGACTTGTGTATCATCCTGTTTGTTCTCTGTGATAGCCCTGGCTTAGGTGTACAGAGGTATTTCTTTCATGTGGGGGGCGGTGTCACTTCCTAAGGTGGTAGAAGAGGCTTACAGGGAGTTTTGATTCTAAACTTTTCTACTCTTCTATGATGTTCTCCAAGTTCTTGTAGCATACTCATAAATTTAGGCTTGAAGGCAGAAAGTGGGAGAGTGTTACCACTTGCAGGAATTTGTATACCTTAGTAAGTCAACAGGTATGGACAATGCAAACTCACATAAACCTTGAAATAGGATCATTATCATTCAAGCCTAAGATGATGAGCCAGGAGCTCTGGAGAGCTTGAGTTCTGAGGATCAAGATTAACGCTCTCTGTCCTGAGGGCCTAGAACATGTGCCCTTACTGGTATGACACAGTTGTGGACTTGTCCCATAGGATCTAGTGAGGTGGGTAGTTTGAAGGGTAACAGAGAGGTTAAGAAATAGCTCTGCCTCCTGATTTTGCCACTTACTGGCTGTGGCAGAACTTTGGAATATGTTCTTTAGATTCTCAAAGCTCCATATCCTTTAAATGTGGCTGGGTATGAACAGGGCCTACCCAATATGATTGTAAGGACTCTGTGGGCAGTGACTAAGAAGGGCTCTGCCCGGTGGCTGGCCAGCAGATGGGAGCTAAAGCAGAACACGACTCTGAAGCTGACTGGCCTGGATTATTAGAATCAGCTACTGCCCCTGCGAGCTGTGAGCAAGCTAGTTAAGCCTTCCCTGCCTTGGGAATCAAAATAGCACCTGCTCTGTAAGGTTACTGTAACGGTTAAATGTGTGCTGCACCTGTCGCAATGCAGAACAAATGCTTGCTAATAATAATTCTTCTCATTTCTTTTCACAAAAGACTCCTTGGTTGCACCCAGCTGATTTTTGTGTTTGACTAAAAATTTCTATGTGATAAAGTGACACTTTGAGAAAAGGCAATTAGAATTTTAGAAATAGGAAATGGGATATTTTTATTGTTGAAAGTTTTACAATGTGGGGAACCAATTTATATGCACTGCACGCTCTGGACACAGAAGTAAGCAAAGCTTTCTACACTTCCTCCAAGTTATCAGGCCCTGCCTTGTGGCGAGCGGGTTAGGGTGGCATCGCATTCGGCCACTCCTTTTCTCTTGGGCACAGCAGCTATATTTAGGTGGGGCCATGCAAGTTCAGTATGTTTCATTTTGCCTTGAGTTTAGTTGGTCCCAGAATAGTTGACTCCATGAAGGAGAATGCTTAAGTCCAATTTTAAAGTGAGTCTCAGAATAGAAAACATTCAGTGGGGCCAGGCTGTGCTCAAGTACCGCCCTGCTGCCCAGTCTCTGGTAGCCGCTCCATTGGTAGACCAGGTGTAAGTCCTCCCGGAGGTGATTTTTCGTTCTATCAGAGCCGGGGATTGAATCCAGAACCTCATGCATGTAGTATTCCACCACTAAGCTGTGCTTATTATTTTGAGATAGGCTGGCTCGAAACTCTCCACACTCTGCCTCTTCTCCTGAATAGCTAGGATTACAAGTGTGCACCAACATGCCGAGCTCTCTCAGAGTTTTATTGTCTTTATCTTTGTTGGATGTCAGGTGGAATTATGATGACAATACAGATGTGCAGCACTGCTTCTGGGGAGGATTTCTCTCCAAAATGGAAGAAGTCTGTATTTTTCTGATTATAATGGTAAATTCTATCTCAGAAATGTTCAAATAAGACAAAACTTTAAACAATATAGACAAGGAAAAGTCACACACTCCTTTGCCATGTTGAGAAAACTGCAACCTGGTTGTGTGTATCTTTCTGGATATTTTTCTGTGTGTATACACATATGGACACTGACTTTTATGGGTATTGAACTTTATGAATACCTCTTAGCATCATATGTGGCTATCTTCTTGTCTGAAATATATATATATTATAATTTTTATAGTTAAGTTTATTGGTACAATTTAGATATACATGACGATTACATTTATCACAGGGAAATTGTACCTGTGTGTGCTGTGTCTTTATTTCTCTTTTATTTTTCCCATTCCCTTCTTTCCTGTTAGCCCCCCTTCCCCTCCTTATTTACAAAGTTTTGTTTCTATCTTATTCTTTTTTTCTCATTTGTTTCTTTTCCCTTCCTCCCTCCCCTTTCCTTTTAAATACTTTCTTCCTATTTCACAGTATCTGCTGTGATTTTTATTTACACATTCAGTTTTGCACAGCAGAGAAACAGTATGACATTTACACATTTGTGTCCAGTTTTTTACTTAACATTATAGTCTCAAGGTATAACCTATTTACCAAAAAATGTCTCAAGTTTATCCTTCTTTATGGCTGAGTAGAACTGCATTGTATCAAAAAAACACCTCTTTTTTTTTTTTTTATCCATTTCTTGGCTGATGGTCTCTTGGGTTCTTTCCAAGATTTAACTCTTACGAACTGTGCTGCTATAAACATGGGTGCACATATATCACTGTGGGATGATATTTTATTTCTTTTGGGAAGATGCCCAGAAGGGGAATAGCTGGCTTGAGTAGAACCTCCTAGTTTTTGGAGGAATCTCCAGGCTTATTTCCACAGTGGTTGCACCAGTCTACATTCCCACCAGTAGTGGAGCAGCGTTCCTTTGTCCCCACAGCCCCTTCAGCATTTATTATTTGTTGATTTCTTGATAATAGCCATTCTTTGTGGAGTGAGATAGGATCTTTTCAGTTTTAATCTGCATCTTTTGAATGACCAATGATGTTGAAAATTTTTTTCATATATTTGTTCGCCATTTGTATTTCTTCTCCTGAGAAAAGATGCCCATTGAGGGCATCTGAAATGGACAGACATCTATATTATAACTGGTAAATAAAATTCCATTTCATGGATATCCTCTGGATTAAGCTAACCTTCTGTTGATGTTGGATTATTCCAAGCTCTTGTAAAGTTTACGTTGTACAATTGTTCTTACAGGTAGTCCCTGGGACCTTGCTTCAGCATCAGAGATGGCGATACCAGGCATGTGTTCTTCCATCTCTGAAGAGCAGCTGCAGATCCAGGAGGGACTGAACAAGACCAGGGAGGACTTGGCTGAGCAGAGTCTGGTTTCATCTGAGAAATGGCTCCAACGACATGGGCTGAAGGCCAACAAATTGTCTTTGAAACAGATCTTGTCTCAGATTGGATTCCCCCATTGTGAAGGTATGGGTCTCACACACAGCCAGCGTGCTCTGCTGTACCTTCTGGTAGGCTGTGTCAGTTCTGAAGCTCTCTGGATCTTTAAGCTTGCTTTTTGTCTCACATCTCTTTCCATAGGAAATGTGTGAATACCCCAACATATCTATTTGAAAATCAGTTTCCTTGATAGGGATAAGATGAGTCAAACTGTCAGTTTTATATTAGATGAGGTATGATAATTTGTGAGGTTTTTTTTTTTAGGATGTGATTCATTTTACATTTCATCTTAGCCAAAAGGTTGAGAAGCAATAAGGATTTGACTCATTTTATTCAACTTGTCCAGTTTGTGTGTAGAGAGTTGTTTGTAATGTTCCCAGAATCTTTTGCTATCCACAGGATCAGTAATGAAATTCTATTTTATTCCTAATATTTATAATTTATTCCATTCTCCTTTTCTATTTGTCAGTCTTGCTAGAAGTTGTCATTCATCAACTTTATTGGTCTTTTGAATTAGCTTTTTGCTTAATTGATTTTTCTCTATTGTTTTGTTTTCAATTTCATTGACTTTGGTTTTGATTTTTTATTATTTGCTTTCTTCAGATTATTTTGGGTTTATTTTACTCTCATTGCAGATTTTTTCAGAAACATGGTGCTAAAAATGTCCCTCTACCTGCTTCTTAGCCAAACAATTTATATGCTGTGTAATCATTTCTATTCAGTTGTATTTTTTAATTTCCTTTGAGACTTCCTTTATGTCCCATGGAAGGTTTTAGAAGCACATTATTTAGTTTTTAAGTACTTGTGACTTTCTTATGTTCTGTGTCATTTTATTTGTGTTTCAATTTTATTATTATTATTTATTTATATTTCTATTTTTTGATACAGGGTCTTGCTATGCAGTTCACACTCATAGTGATCCTCCTGTCTCAGCTTCCCCAGTGCTACACGTGTGTACCAGGTCCTAAGTGCATGCACCCCCACGACCAGTTTGGGGGCCGGCAGTGTGAGCCCGTGGTTCTGGGGCTGGCAAGGCATGAGGAACCAGGGATGGAACTTGGGACCTTGCACTTGCCAGGCAGGCACTTACACCGCTGAGCTATCTCCCCAAGCTTATTTCAATTTTAGACAGAGGACATACTCTAGTTTCAGTTATTTTAATTCTTTTTTGGTACTGGGGATTGTGCTCAGCGCCTTCCCATGGAACTATAGCCCTAGGCTTTAAAAAATATGTTTTGGGAGACAGAATCTTGCTAAGTTGCTCAATTGCCTATTCTGAGTTTGGAATTACAGTCTTCTTGCATCAGCCTCCCAGAGCTCTGGGATGACAGGTGTGTTTAGACTGACAGGTTTGTTTTATAGCCAAGGACGTGATTTGTCTTGTTATATATTCTATAGGTATTGAGAAGATGTGTATTCTGGAAGGTTGCATAGAGTTTTCTGCAGTTGTCAATTAGATTTATTTATGATGGTGTTATTGAATATCCCTGTTGATTTTCTGTCTAGTTTTTGCCAGTTGTTGTAAAAACAGCATTGAAGCTTCCAACTATGATTGTGGATTTATCCATTTCATCTTTTGTTTCTACTGGGTTTTGCTGTTATATCATTTGGTGCATATACATTTAGATTTGCTATGCCTTTCTGAGGATAGGCACTTTATCATTATATAATTTTCTACTCTGTTCCTAAGAATATTCTTTGCTTTTTTTTTTTTTTGGTGGAACCAAGGGTTGAACTCAGGCCCTTGCACTTGCCAGGGAAGCGCTTATTCCATTGAGCCATCTCTCCGGCCCCATATATTCTTTGCTTTGAAGTTTGCTTCTGTAGTACAGAGAATTCTGATTCTTTTTATTAATATTTGTATGACCTCTTACTATTCTTACTATCCTTACTAACCCAATAATTTGGGTTTATTCTCTTTTTTGCATATAATCATATTTGAAGAAATTTTATTACAAATCCCATGATTTATTTTTTAAATTCTGTTTGCCAATCTGCCCTTTAATTGGTATACTGAGACCATTCGTACTTATGATAATTAATTAGTGGTCTGTTAAGGTTTGCCAGTCATCTTATAGGTGATTTCCCCCTCTTTTTTCCTTTGTTTTTGTTATCCTGCCTACATTTAGATTATTCTAACACTTTTTTTTTTACGGAATCGGGGATTGAACTCAGGTCCTTGCGCTTGCCAGGGAAGCGCTCATTCCACTGAGCCATGTCCCCGGCCCCACTTGAACACTTTTTTGAATTCTATTTTTATTTATGTATAGTGTTTTGTACTGTGCCTTTTAATATGGCTTTCTTTCTTTCTTTCTTTCTTTTTTTTACGGTACTGAGGATCGAACTCTGGACATGGTGCTTGCTCAGCAGGTGCTGATGCTACTGAGCTATATTCCCAGCTAATACGGCTTTCTTAGTGGAGTTGCTAGGTATTGTATTATGAGTACATACATTTTTTTCTTTTTCTTTTTCTGGTACCAGGGATTGAACTCAGGACCTTGCACTTGCCAGGAAGAACAATTTTTTTTACAAGTATCCAGGCATTTTATCAGTTTGAGTGACAAGCAGAAACTTAATTCTCTTTAGTTCCTTTTTCCTTCCCATTTGTAATAATACATATTATTCTCTCTTCATATACTGAGAATATTAGGTTGTGCTAATGTTTTAAAATTTATTTTTAAATCTATTGTTTTGCTTCAACTGTCAAACATAATTTATAAATCTCAAGAAAAGAAAGTCCACTTTATTTACTCATGATGTTTATTGTGTTTTTTCCCCTTATATTCCAAGATTTCTTTTGTAACTTTCTATTTACAGAACTTCTTTTATTTATTTCTTAAGAGGAACTCTGCTAGTAACAAACTCTTTTAAAATCTTTGTCTGAGAATGTTTTTATTTCTCTCATACTGAAGAATAATTTCAAAATTTTGGGTGAATAGTTTTTTCTTTTACTACTTAGAAATATCATTTCATTTTCTTCAGGCTTCCAAGGTTTCTGATGAGAAAATCACAATCATTAGAATTCATTTTCCCCTATTGGTAATGTATCATTTTTCTTTGACAAGATTTATTTCTGTCTTTTAGTTTTCAAAGGTTAGACTATAATGTATCTTGGGTGGATTTCTTTGGGTTTATTCTCTTTGAATTTTACTCAGTTTCTTTTTTTAAATTAAAAAATCTTTTATTTATTTGGTACAGGGTCTTGCTATGCAGTTCAGACTCATAGTGATCCTCCTGTCTCAGCCTCCGCAGTGCTGGGATTACAGGTGTGCACCACCATGCCTGGTTTCTTACTTAGTTTTTTGAATCTGTTGTCTTTTTCAACCCTTCTTCCTATAGTACTTTTTCAGTCTTCCTCTTTCCTCTTCTTCTTTTGATATTCCAATGAATTGGATACTAGACCTTTTGTTTTTCTTAATCTTACATATCTGTGAGGTTCTGTTCGTACTTCTCAGTCTATTTTATCTAGGTTGTTCAGATTGGGTGATTTCTATCCTGTCTTTAAGTTTACTCATTCTTTTTTCCTCTTGTGTCCATTCATTGAGTTTTGTTTCTTTTTTATTTTGTTATTCTATTTCTGGTTGGTCTAACGGCTCCATTTGGCTCTTCTATGTATCTTCTGGCTTTTTTTTTCCTGAAATTTCCAATTTTTATTCATTTCAGGTGTGTTTATAATTGCCTGATAAAATGTTTCTATGATGATTGCTTTGAGACCCTTGTTGGATCCTTCTAATGTGTGTCATCTTGGTGTCAATGTTGTTCATTGTGCTTTTTCATTAAGTTTTAAACTTCTTAGCTTTCAGGATGATGTGATCTTTTAAATTGAAACAGACATTTGTATATTTTATAATTTGATTCTGCATTTTTTTTTAGCTTTGTTTTCTAGTCTCTATAAAGGAAGGCATCTTACTATAACTACTATAATTTCTTTTCTTTTCTTTTTTTTTCAGTACTGGGGATTGAACTCAGGACCCTGTGCTTGCTAGACAAGAGCTCATTCTACTGAGCTATCTCCCCGGCCCCTCCACTCTAATTTCTTGATGGGGGTAAAGTCCAGGCTCTTCCCATAACCCGTGTAACATCTATAGGAACAGGGGATCTTTGTTCAGGATGGTGGCTCAGACTTTCCAGGCCTCACTGATACCACCCTGGATAGGGCTAAAGGATACATTTTCATTGCTCTCTGTGTGGCCTTTAAAATTTTTTTTTAATATTGGGAATCAAACTCAGGACCTTGTGCTTGCCAGGCAGGCACTGTTGCACTGACCTATATCATCCCTGACCCCTCCATATGACCTAGCCTGACACTGTGGATGGATGGTCATGTTACCACTGAGTGGTGGAGAAAGCCTCACCTCTGACACAACCCCAGTGAGAGAAGGAAGAGTTACCTTTGCCTCATTAACCTGAAAACATATAAATTCATTGTTCTGTGACTTCTGTTTTTTCATCTGAAAAGTCAGTCATATTCATAAAACTTTTCCATTGCCTGTGATGTATCTAATATATAATTTTTTCTGTGGCTACTTTTAAGAGTTTTTTTCTTTATTCTTTCCTTTCAGCTAGGCTTTATATTATGGTAGCTTTGGTTAGGTTTTCTCTGTATTTTTATATTGCACAGGATGTGCCAAGCTTTTGGATCTGTAAGGATTTTTTTTTTTTTTTTTTTTTTTTTTTGGTGGAACCAGGGATTGAACTCAGGCCCTTGTGCTTGCCAGGGAAGCACTTATTCTACTGAGCCATCTCCCCGGCCCCTGTAAGGATTTTTTAAAAAGCAAAATTATAGGTATCTTCAACTATTATTTTTTCTAATCTATTTTTGTGTCCTATTTGTCCTCTCCTTTCCTTTTGAAACTCCAGTTAGAGTTATGCTAAATATCCTGATGTTGTCCCACACATGGCTGAATTTTTTTTTTTTTTTTTTGTATTTAGTACAGGGTCTATAGGGTCTCACTATACAGATCAGACTTGTAGTGATTCTCCTGTGTTCAGCCTTCCCAGAGCTGGGATTATAGGCGCGCGCCACC